TATATATATATATTCTTTTCGTTATATATTTGGAAGAAATAAAGTCGTTTATTATTATTATTGTCATATAAGAAACTCGGAAAGTAAAATCTCACGAAATCGTTGCTACTCAAAAACTTGAGGCAAGAATGTAGTTGAATTTGAAAAATTATCGCGAGCAGTATAATTGAATTGAAATTTTCATTTCTTGAACTAGTTAAAATTTTTCAAACTTAATTCATTTTGTAGATATATTTTTCAACAAATAAATTCTGATAAATTTAATCATTTCATTGTTTTGGAGAGTATAAATGGATATTAAAACTCATTCAAATCAATTTGTTCGAGTACATTCTCGAAGTTTTCGGACAAAACTCCAACTTACTTCTCATTCTCTTATTTTTATGATAACACATTGAAAATTTCTAGTATGTTCATTTTGAAAACTGAATTCATCAATTTATAAACTAATATTCTTGCAAACTCCGTAAACAAAAGCTATGATACATATTTCGTGAAGCGATTTCAAAATTTTCATATCACCATGTAATCAAAGATCTATCAATATTATGACTTATTATTGTACTAGGTACTAATATTATGGTATTGTATACGTTACTTGTGAAAGCACCAAGTGAAGAAGTAACTCACATATTTTCATTGATTTATTATTCTCAATACCACACTGAACTGATTTTTCTTTGGACCTTACTGTTTCCAGTTTTGAGTTACCTGATAGATTTTGATATCTATAATTACTGCTTTCGTTGCGCATAACATTAGCGAAAGTATTGAGGTGTATAAAATGTTAGAAATACGTTAGGAAGTGTTATGAAATTTTTGTTTTTAATTTGTCACTCATATTACCCAACACCTTCTTAAATATCATACTTTTCCAGATTCATCCCAAGTATAGAGCAATGGCAATCATCAATATCAAGAGTAAGTACAAGTGTACCTATTATTTCATAATTCAGCTATATATTATGCAGATGAGCTTGGTTCATATTTGGCATGGATAGTAGACTGACAATTCTCAGATGTGTTTTAGTTCACAATACAAAAGTTTTACCTGAGAAGTTTATTGAAATGATTTTTATATAATAGTTTCCATAAGTGATGAATAAATTTCATGAGTACCTATCGTTGACTAAAATACTTCAAAAAAATATTCACAAACCGATTTCCATTTTTCATGACTTGATAAGTGAAATTTTCAACCAATGACGTAAAATTTTCATCAAAATGTATTTGTATTCAAATAAAATTGCCAATATTCGAGCTGTCGGCACAGTCGTAGACTCTTTCCATTTCAAAAAACTGTTAAAAATTGGGATCCAAAATTCATCACAAAAACATCATTTTGTACCTATCAAGTCAAGGAACAATGAACCAGTTCTTAAACTACTACGGAATTGGAATTAATAGAGAAATTACAAGAGCATGAAAACTAGTATCGCTTTAGAATATATCTCCAAACTATTCTCCAAGACCTTCTGTTACAAAAACATGAAGAGCGATCGCATCAGTTTCTCCAATAACATTTCTGAAAATCAGCACAACACAGCCAGAATACAGTCATAGAGTGCGGACGTAAATATTCTTTCACTTCTCTTAACTTTTGAGCGAAGCAAGATATCAAAAAACTCAAATGACGAATGTATCGATAAAAATCAGAATCAATTCTTACAAAAGAATGAATCTTCTGAAAAGAGCATATCACTAAATCATCACAGATGATTTAGTGATATGCTAGCTTCTGAAGAAATCATAACCAGAAGATGATATGCATTTCAGAAAGTCGCAACTTGATTATCAACAAACCTATGGAAGTCTGCCTATATAGCGATAATTTTGTGATTTTCTGCAGAGTAAGAAACTTCTCAGTTTCGAATGCTCAATTTTTCCTTTATCATTCAGAAAACTGGTGAGACAAGTCGGGTTTTCTGTTCTCTGAAAAGAAGACAAAATTTGTCATATTTTGTTTAAAAAAGTCGAATGAAGTGTCCCCAGCCTAATTCTCAATAACCAAAGCTTTGTTACATCAGTCAACAGGTATGTTCAGAAATCAAACTGAAAAGACCACATAACAGATTTAACAGCAACATGCTACAAAAAACTCAACTTGCTGCAGATCCTCACTAATACAAATTTGATTACGGCACTGTCGCATATGCACTCGACCATTCAGCTGAATGTTCAGCTCTATATAGATCTCTCGTTAATGCTAATTCCAGTGCGTACCGAAATTAAACTACTCAAAATGAATATAGAGGCATATCCTTAAAATCCAATAAGTAAAAAATATGTATTATTTCATGATAAAAACTTCTGGTGTGTACTCCATACTAATTCTTATCATGTTCCATTCGGTTGTTGTTGTTTACTTTTTTACTTTTTTTACTTTTTTTTGTACTTTTAGCTACAAAATCATTAATATAAAAAATTCTGTACTCAGTTTCACTTTACTAAAAATCAATGAAAGTCTGAAAAAAGATTATACTTGGACCTTCTTTAATGTTTTCATTTTATTTGGAGAACGTCATTTTCCATGTATCCACGTATTATAAAATACCAAATCAATAATTACATTCATCTCAACAGTTTAAATTAGGTCGATAAGAGTTTTGTCCGTCTTTATTCGAAGTACTGTTGTAAATCATGTCCTAAAGAAAATAACGCCGGCCGCCACTGGGAGCCATAAACCAGTTGTGACGTAGCTAAGAGCGCGCGAATGTCCGATGTTCGCTGCCGTTCTATATGTAGCGAGAATAATGCTACCGGCTTCGATGGAATTCCGAGGAATGTTCCAGCGCCTTTGATTGCCAAATATAAGCGCCATCCACTCACCCATCGAGTCAGTCAAGTGGAAATGACAGTGCGGTACGCGGAACGATCTAATAAGGCGATAGACATTCGAATAATAGTTTTGGTTAAAGTGTTTTTTTGTATCAAAAAAGAAATGAAGTTAAGTTTGATTATTGTTCGTTGTAGTCAATTATTGGCCAACGAACGGGGAAAAACGTAACAATACTAATTAAATGATGGGTAGAAATAGTTCCAAACCGCTTGTTAAGTAGACATGAATATAGTCTAAGACAAAGCTATTTTGCGTGTTCATCGACCATGATCTGCAGGATTTTATTCAATACTTTTCGTTTACTACTGCGGTATACATTACCAAAGGCAATGAAACAATGGACAAAATGCTCTGGTTGTCCTTCAATATTTCTATTAGTTTGATCAAATGCATTTCAGCACAGTTAGTCAGATTCTTCTTTTCGGTTGCAATTGGTTCTTTGCTTTTGATTGCAATTAGTATTGTAATGTAATGTATTTTTTTTCCTATAATTTTGTCAAATAGCATCTATGTTCATGAAAACTTTTGGGTTCTACTTGCCCTCTATCTCAAAGTTGACCCTGTACCGCCAGTTTATTTCACCCTATGGATATGAGATACTTCCAGGGATGGATAGATTCCAATTTTGTTCTATACAGTTTCATTAGGAGTCGATACTTTTCGACTCAGTCGCGAGTGAAAGTCTTCATTTTCAAACGGTTTTATTTATCTTGCCCTATTTGTTTGTTTGTTTGGTCAAATTTAGCAATTGAAGTCTGACCCCCTTCCTGTTGACAAATTCATCTGATATTTGTTACACATATTTGGTTCTGATGACAATACAATTTAAAAAATTCTGTATCATTGTAAATTCAAAATGGCCGCAGCTACAAAGTAGCGGATTACATCTTTTTTCACAACTACCTCAATGTGGGTATCAAATGACTGGGGTAGAATAGTAGTATTCTTTGACCAGATTCAAATTCAAGATGGCCGCAGCTACAAATTGGCGGATTACATATCATTTCACAACTACCAAAATATGGGTTTCAAAAGATGCAAATCTAATATAATCTATACATAGAACTTTGTCAATTCAAAATCGGTATACAAGCATGGATTTTCCACCCAAATCAAGATGTTGTGTCGTGTCGAGGACTGTGTGGCGTTAGGATGGATAAAAATTAGAAACTAAAAACTTAAAAATAAAATAATTAAAAAAAATATCTTGAACGGTTTTATTGAAAAAAAAAATATCAATGATATAGCTAATGTACTGAAAAATAATTCGGAAGGTCCTAGGTAGCAGTCATCACACCACAGCAACCTGCGGTATTAATCAGATAAAAAATAAAATTGTTAGGTGTCTTATTTACAAATTTAGTCAGGTTACGCTACGCTCAACAATTTTATCATTTTTTCATCTGATCAATACCGTAGATTGCTGAGGAGAGTGGTGTGATGACTGCTACCTAGGACCTTCCGAATTATTTTTCAGTTTCCAGTACATAAACACTTTTTTACATATTTTAATTAAATCAATAAATCCACATTTTCAGACGATTTCTCGCGAATGACCCAAAAAGTATTCTTTCGAACAAATCATTCCCAGTAAAAATGTAGCTTGAAAATGGTGGATTTGCGGTGTCTGTAGACCCAATTCAAACGGATAAAAGGCTTGTTGAAGTTTGATTCATATGAGGGGAAGTAGCCAAAAAACAATGCATTTTTTGAGGAAAACTCATAGAACCTTTTTTTGAAGGCTTGAAAAAAATCTCCAGCATCAAAACTAAGGGATTTATGACGAACATAATATTGATCCCTTTTTAACGACAAAGACATGTGAAATCAATCCCTATTTACCACCCTCATTGAAAATAATCGTTATCACTATTCATCTCACTTCATTTATGTACTTCTGATATGCTCTAGAAGTTTAACTGGTTGGAAAATTTAAAAAAAAAATGATTTTCTCCAAAATAACTCAATTACTCGTACTATCAATGATACCCATATAAATGGTGAGTCAACAAATTCCTTCGGTCCATTGCTATCAGAGGAAACAATTTTTCGAACTGCTCATTTTTTTTTGCAGTCACATCGATGAATATTATCTTTCAAAATTATTTTCTTGCATACCAACCAAAGTTATATTTTTTCAAATGGAACACCCAGTATATGAATACGTCATTCGATTCCATATTTTTTTAGCTCGCTGAGAAATTTTTGTTTTTGAATTTCCATTGCGACGTTGCCAAGTTATTCCAGAAAAACCTATTTTGCAGACAATATGTTTTTTAATTCACTACCCGCATATCTACAGCCATTAAGTGGATTTTTTTAGACATAGTTAGTCAACATCACTATGATAATTTCGAGAATCTCAACTTTCGGAAACAAAGGGTAAAACCTTTCATTCATTTTCAAATGACATAATTCAACTTTTTCAAATGGAACACCCTGTATTCTTTCATTTGTATGAAATGTTTCAACAGTTCACTACATTTTTTAACAAAGGTATACTATAGGAAAAACTGATATTTAACAAATTATATCAAGTTTTGTAATTGTTGTAGCCACAAAAAAGGATTTTCTTACGTTCACTTACTCAAAATTGTTTTTCGATTATTCAAACTAATCACTAGTACATTAGCATACCATCTAGTTATAGTTATCTGCGGTTTTCCAGACTATTTATACAGTTTTTTTCTTAAAAAACCCAGTTATCCATGACTGAGATCAAAAAATCAATCTTGGAACTTGTCAATAACGTCATGTGTTGAAGTGTCTTTCGCGTGTAGATTGAATAATTTTCATTACGAATTATATATTAGAAGATATGGTATAAATGGTGTATGCTTTGGAGGAAAGTGACGGAAACTGCCTCCTTGCATCTAGGATTTACAAAAAGAAGTTCCCCAAAAGAAGAAACCCAGATGGAAGGGCATTTCGGGCTCTAAAGACAAGATTTGAAAAAACTGGTAATATCAATCACAAGAAGTTCGAACGTGTATGGAACGCCGTTTTACTTTTTATTGTCACAAATATTCATTCCTCAGTTTATTCAACTAACAATTTAATTGTTTGAATTTAATTGACTCATGCATTTGTTCGACACATTAAAAACGATTGTTCGCAAACTTTGTTCTATTTTAAATGACACTTGATTTAAAATGTTACATGAATAAAATTGTTATTTGAATAAAAAAGAGTAATGCAATAACTTGAAGCTTTTATTGATTCCGAAGAAAAATATTGTTTCAGAGTATTGGAAAATGGAACGCCAATTTATTATATATTATGCTGAAAAATAATNTCGGCGCTGCGGTCGGACGGAATATTGTGTTACTATCACTAAACTATCATGTTGCCAGATTTAAAAATTCAGCTTCTGCAAGAATCCGTTCGACGCTAGCGCCGAATTAAAATTATCAACAATCGTTTTAATTCATGTAACTATAATTATCAACAAACCATTTTATTCATGTTTCACAGAAATTGTAGTACATTATTCGATAGTTACAAAAAAAAGTATATATGACAAACATTTACTTCCAAAAATTTCAAACAATGAATCTATATTATATCGCAACTTTTCATCAAACAAATTAATTCATGTAACATTTTAAATCAAGTGTCATTTAAAATAGAACAAATTTTGGGAACAATCGTTTTTAATGTGTCGAACAAATGCATGAATCAATTAAATTCAAACAAATACATTGTTAGTTGAATAAATTGAGGAATGAATATTTGTGACAATAAAAAGTAAAACGGCGTTCCATAAACGTGTCTGCCCTGTAACAAATGAAAAGAATACGTTTCCAACTGCTCTTCACCTTGTTGAAAATCCCCATGTGAGTACCCGAGACCTGAGCAGGTAACTGTGATTTTTTCAAACCAGTGTGTCTCGAATGATACGAGAAAGCAAATTTCATCCTTACCACATGCAATTGAGTTACGAGGAAGAGATTTTAATAACCGTGTTCAATTTTGCCGATGGGGCTTAGAAAAAAGATCAATCAGGAAAATGATTTTTTTTCGATTTTGTTATGTTTTCTTATGTAGCGACTTTTTATAAAAAAAAGGAACTATGGATCAGCATAACATGCATTATTATGCAACGGAAAACCCTCATTTTGTTCGTTGCCTGAACAATGAACAGCGTTGGTCAATGAATGTTTGGGGTGGAATTCTCGGAAAGAGTTATCGGTCCTTATTTTTTGGATGGGCATCTCACTGGAAGAAAATATGTAAGATGTCTTCGGCATGAGTTTTCGAATTTATTGGACTGGGTTCCATATGGAACAAGACTTAGAATGTGGCTACAAGAAGACGGTGCACCACAATATTTTAAAACTGAGGTACGGGAATACCTCAACCATCAAAAATGGATAGGGAGGGAGGGCCTGTGGTGTGGCCACACAGATCACCTTACCTGACCATAATGGATTTTTTTATTTTTTACATGGGGGTATATCAAATGGATTGTCTACCAAACTCCTCCAACATCTATAGAAGACATGAAATGAAAAATCACTAGAACTTTCAGGGAAATCCCAGAGAATAAGCTGGAACGTGTAGAGAGTTCGTTCAAAAAAAGACTGACATTATGTGTTGCAGAAAATGGTCGCATTGCGGGCTCTTCCATTCAATAATAAATTTAAGCTTTATTGTTCAAATTGAAAAAATGTTGACTAAGTGAACGTAAATAAATGAATTTTTTGTGGTTACAACAATTAATAAAACTGGGTATAATTTGTAAAATATCTGTTTTTCGTATAGTATATCTCTGATAAAAAATGTAGTGAAATGTTGAAACATTTCATAAAAATGAAAAAATACAGGGTGTTTCATTTGAAAAAGTTGATATATGTCTTTTTGAAAATGAATGAAATGTAATCTTTTGCAAAATTACAAAAATTTTCATATCAAATCAAACTCTTTTTTTTAAACTACAAACCAGTCAAACTTCTAGAGCATATTATTTTATACTAGTTCATGAATGAAGTCAAGTATATAATGGTAAACAACATTATTTCCCAAGAATGAAAGGGTGTATTTTTAGGAGGCATTAATTTCTGGGAAAGAAAGTTTTTGGAATAGAGATGAATGTTTTCCCGTATAATTCAGCGTTCACATAAAAGTATCTGTTTCGAAAGTATTTTTCTTTCCTGTAATTCAATGTTTATAAGAAAATATCTGTTTTGAAAGAGCTTTTTCTTTCATTTTATGTCTGAAAATTACTTCACAAGATCTACACATCTTTGTGTAGATTTAATGCTGAAGACTTTAAGCTATATTTATAGCTTGCAACCTTAATAATCTGGACTGTGGCTACTCATGCATCTTTATCACCAGGTACTCAAATCCAACATGAATCGCTACTTTGGCACAGTCACCGCTCTTAGAGTGCCTTATGGATTTTCCTGTTGTTTCATCTTTGAATTTTTTTCACTTAGAGTGATTTTTTTTTCTATCAAATACTAATTTTTTGAGTTATTCAAGAAAAAACGTTCATTGGTTGAAAAATGACACTTTCACTCCTGAACAGGTCAACAAGTACGGACTTTCAGAACAACTTTGAAAACAAAAGTTGCTTAGAATCCCATATCCAAATCCGTAGTTATGAAACATTTTTCACCCACGAGAAGGGGTGTCATCCATCCCCAGAGTCCAGAATAACAGCTACCCCTGGTACAGGGTAGGGAAAATGTCTTCTCAATTTCTTAGTCCAAGTTTCACATATTTTAATATTATCTTTGGTTTTTAGGTTTCCTGCCAACAAGAGCCATAATATGGATTATGTTATTTACTTGTACGTTTTTCCTCTATATGATAAGAATTAATCTGTCAATAATAATTCTGGCAATGGTAGAACCAAAGAAAGGAAATATCACCGTTACTGCTGAATGTTTGAGAGAAGTGACTCCAGCAAATATCAGTGATCATGTTATAATAAAGTCGAAAGTTTCAAATGTAAGTGTTTTTTCAGTAACCGATACACCTTTGAAAATAATAATGTTACCCAATCATATCCAAAATTTGACTTACAATAACTCTAAAGCAGTTTGGCGATTTCCCTTAAACCTGAACATAATTGGGAAATTATTTTTCAAATATTAATCAACACGCTTTTATTAGCTTCACTTATATATTTGTATAAGAGCAAGTGAGACAACCACAGTCTCTGCGCATGCGTATATATTTTATATTAAAACAATTGGGCTTAAAATAGCAAGCCAAACTAAAAAGTGAAAAATAAATGAAAGTTTAATGAACTGAAAAAACACGCTTTAACAGCAATACAAAGTAAAAAATAATTCGAAACTAATTTAAGATTGTGTTTAGCATCGATATTGAATCCTACGGCTTGATGTACCTAACGTTTTTTTACAACAAAATTAATTTTTTTGTTAATAGATTTATTTGATTTCAGACTTACTAAAAGTCATCAAGCCATGGGACTTATTATCTATGTTGAACACAATCTTAAATTAGTTTCGAACGATTTTTTAGTTTGTGTTGCTATTAAATCGTGTTTTTTTGTTTTTTAAACTATTATATATACTTGAATTTGATTACCATGATGCTTCAACCTGAGATAAATTTCTTGAAAGTTGTCCTCAGTGTCGTATATCAGGGAATAGAGTTTCCACCCCTGCTAAAATTTCATATTATTATTCAATAGCTGTATTCAAAAAAATCTGTCGACGCTTCTGGTTGTATCCTAACTAATTGATTCGTGCGAGAGGTCGTAGTCTAGGATATTCATTGAACTCCAATAGAAAATAAATGAGGGCGGGACAATAAGTAGAAGCGCAAAATTTTCTCAAATCGAACCGATTTGTCTGGGTCACAAGATCCTTTTTTGGAACTTCTGTCCAAAGGCACCGAAAATTATGATCGAGGGCTCATTCGATTCAGAATGACCTCTAGCAAATTTTTGAAAAATCTCAAGAGGGACTCGAAAAAATTGCAGGAGTTATAAATAATTTAGTAAAAAAAAATGGGTTTGGTTTTTTGCAAATATCTCGGAAAATATTAAAGATATCCGAAATTTGAAAAAAAATCTTTAAAGAGGAGGAAATTTCCACCTTCAGGAACTCTATCACCCATATTTATAATTTTAATTCAGAGGCGAGAATAGCGCTAAAAGCGGGCCATGCGCGTCCCGCACACGCTCACCGATATGGACCTTTAAATTTTTACAAGTTTTAAATTTACATAAAAACCGTGATAACTTTCAATCTAGAATCCTCAATTTTTCTTCTCTTCTTGGAAAAATACTAACAAAAAAACAAAAACAACCATGTATCACTTTTTGTGTAAACAATTTTTCCTCTATTTTTTACAAATTTTTTAATATTTTTCTATTTCTGCATTTGGCGGATCCTCATGGTTCTCAATCATTGTTATTAAAATAACTCATAAACTAATGGAGATAGAACAAAGACACTTCAAGTGTTTGTTTGAAGGTGGTTGACAATGTTTCGTGTTGTATTTCATCAGTTCGGACTTCCATTGTCTAATATAATACAAATTGATTCGAAATCCCTGAAAGAATCTGTGATAAAATTTAAAAAGATTAACCGAAAAAATAAAAATTTTAATGAACAAAAAATTGAAATTACAAAGAGATAACATACAGGCAATAACCAAAAAAATTAAAATATTAATACAAGCTGAAAATAAAAAAATTAAAAATATTATTATCGATAAATGAAAATAAAAAATTAAAAGATTCCAAACCAAGTTACGTCACGACGTCTAAGAAAGGCAATTTGTTGTGGACTTCCTTCTTCATTGTGAAAGTGAAAATGGTAGTGATGATTTCAACGATAATAATCTTCCTACCAGTCCATTTGAAGCTGATGAAGACAATGATGATGGATGTAGTGCAACTGGAAATCCATATTTGGTTGAGGAGTACGTTGAAACATTACTGGAGGGTGTACAAGACGAAGAAATTGCAACCGAAATACAAGAGAAAGAAGTAGAAGTAAGAGAAATTGAAAAAGATTCTGAGGATTGCGAGTCAACACCGCCAAAGCGATCAAAGAAATTATCAAGAAAAAAAAAAGAAGGAGCAAACAAAAATTTTCAATTTCAAATCNTGATAAAAATCCCCCCAAAAAAAATTCAAATATATTATAAACAATACATTTCTTTATACATTTTTTTAAACAAATAGAGCTGAAAACTATGAAAAATCATTTTTATTCAATTTCAAATGATAAAAATATGACTAAATTCGATTATTGAAACAAAAACCATTGCTTCAATTGAATTTTTCACTTCATAACGTCTTTCCAATGGGAACCTTTTTTGAAGGCTCTCAAGAAAATCTCCAAGAAGTGAAAAAAATTTGAAGATTATGTCAGTTTTAAATTTGAAGTTTCAATTTAAAACTTGTAAAAATCAGTTAATTAACTAAAGTATATCTAATGGAAAATCAGGAGAACAAATGTTTTCCATGGATTTTCGTTCATTCAAGTGTCTAAAAGGAACGTGATTTTTTTTCTTAATGATAATATTTAATGTGTTGAAATAATTTTTATTGTTCAAAGGTCTGTTTCGCCTCTAAATTAAAATTATAAATATTGATTATAGAGTTCTGAGGGGTGGAACTTTGTTTTAGAAAACTTCCTCCTCTTTGAGGATTTCTTTTCAAATTTCGGATACCTTCAATATTTTCCGAGATATTTACAAAAAACCAAGCCCCCCGTTTTTTACTAAATTATTTATAACTTTTACAATTTTTTGAGCCCCTTTTGAAATTTTTCAAAACGTTGCTAGAGGTCATTCCGAATCGAATGAGCCCTAGACATAATTTTGGTGCTCTTGAACAGAAGTTCCAAAAAAGGATATTGTGACCCAGACTATTAGTAGAAATCAGAGAAGTTATTTTCATTATCCTATGTTTCTATATTGTTTTGCATTTCTTCTTCATCGTTCAATTTTCAGTTTCGTCATGCCTTTCTCTATGTTCTCGCTCTTCCTCTACTTCTTTCTTTGTTGGATTGATGTCCATTTTGTTACTTTCCTAATCATCCCCATTGATGGCAGAGATATTGTGTATTCTATCCATTCTAACTGTTGCGATTTTATTTTATACTTTATTTTCAAACCTTCGCTGTTTCTCTGTTTCTTTGTGTACATAGGACTCGGAATTGATCCATTTTTTTATTCTTCTTTTTTATTTTTTTTATGTATGATGCCGTTGATAAACGATGTAATCGTAATCTAAAGAAATATATAACCGTTACTAGTAATTTGAATACATATCATCAATAATTAGGTCGATAAACCAATATTATGTAATTTCGAAAGAAAATAATTAAAACGTATTTATTACTTACTGAGATTCTAAGTAAAAGTTATATTGAGAACGTATGCCACATTTTTCACTATAAAATTTAAAAAATCGTTATGTGATACTGTAACGATTTAATAATGAGCATATTGAAATTGTTATTACTTTTAATTCCTTTTAATTCCTAATATATTGAAGTGTGAACTAGTGTAAATCTTAGCGATTAATTGTGATGATTGTAACCTATTGCAATTTTTGCAAACGGTACTTGAATCTTTCCAAAAATAATCATCTACATGCTATTACGAATCGAATGACACCTCGTTTATATTTTTTCAGAGGTGGAGAAAAAAGTTTGACATGAACTAGACTATACATTGGATAGTCATTTTCGACAGGAATATGCCAAAAATGTTAGACTAAGAGATATCGAAGATGTTACATTAGATCTGCCTATAATCTTAAGGAGAATCCAAAAACCCACAATCAGAAAAAAAGAAATTATAATGAGGAACTTCAAACAAGTGGGAAGCTTCATGAAAATAAAACAACTGATTTTTTTCATAAAAATTACTTATGTGTTCGAATATAGCAGGTGGCATCTCCATCAAAATATTCTAGCCAGATTTTCTCCATCGACCTCAATAAATTGTTGAACTGACAAATTTTTCTTATTCAGCGATCTATCAATCGGTTTCCTGTAAATTAAATATATTCAAATAATTCTTTCACGATTAGTATTTCTGTTTTCAGTATGGTGAACAATACAAATGGGATAGTAATCTCCAAGGACTGATATTAGGGTCTTACTTTTGGGGATTTTTCCTCACTGGAATACCAGGAGGAATTCTGGCAGGAAGATTTGGACCAACCAGATGTATTACCATATCTTTCATTGTCAGTGGAGTTCTTACATTGGTAGGACCTTGGGCTGCTGCAATACATCCAGTTGTATTGATAATATCCAGATTTCTAATTGGGGCAGTCGGGGTAAGTACTCACGCTGGCCTTTTGGGGTATAACTATTTTGCAGGTCTGCAGGTCAGCAAATTGTTCTCAGTAGACATTGCTCTCGTAATCTTGTAGGAGGCCAGAAATTTTTGCAGGTTGAGTCTACCAGACATGAATCTTGATCAAGTTAATCATTTTCGACAAAAAAAATTCCAAACCCCACCCTTTGAGTATGGAAAAAGTCCACACTCCTCATTAAATTGAAAATAAACCTTGCAGGTCGGCGGAAATTTTTGCAGGTCGGGTCTCCCAGACAGGAATCTCGACCAGTTTAAACATCTTCGACAGAATAAAATTCCAACCCCCACTTAATAATTTCACAATTCTCAAAAGAATGAAGATACATTTTGCAGGTCGGCGGAAATTCTTGCAGATCGGATCTCTCAGACATGAATCTCGACAGGTTAATCATTTTCGACAAAAAAATTTCAACCCCCACCCTTTGAGTATGGAAAAACTCCACATTCCTCATTAAATTGAAAATAAACCTTGCAGGTCGGCGGAAGTTCTTGCAGGTCGGTTCTCCCAGACATGAATCTCGACCAGGTTGATCATTTTCCTCCTTTTGATTATGCAAAAATGATTATCGAAAATGATTAACCTGGTCGAGATTCATGTCTGGGAGACCCGACCTGCCAGACTTTCCGCCGACCTGCACGGTTTATTCACAATTTAATGAGGAATGTGGAATTTTTCCATAATCAAAGGGAGGGGATTGAAATTTTTTTTATTGAAATGATCAACCTGGTTGAGATTCATATCTGGGAAAACCGACCTGCAAGAACTTCCACCGACCTGCAAGGTTTATTTTGAATTTAATAAGTAATGTGGAATTTTTCGATAATCAAAGGGAGGGAGTTGTAGTTTTTTTTGTCTAAAATGATTAACCTGGTCGAGATTCATGTCTGGGAGAACCGACCTGCAAGAACTTCCGCCGACCTGCAAGGTTTATTTTGAATTTAATAAGGAATGTGGAATTTTTCGATAATCAAAGGAAAGGAGTTGTAGTTTTTTTGTCTGAAATGCTCAACCTAGTCGAGATTCATGTCTGAGAGAACCGACCTGCAAGAACTTCCGCCGACCTGCAAGGTTTATTTTGAATTTAATGAGGAATGTGGAATTTTTCGATAATCAAAGGGAGGGGGTTGTAGTTTTTTTTTGTCTAAAATGATTAACCTGGTCGAAATTCTTGTCTGGGAGAACCGACCTGCAAGAACTTCCGCCGACCTGCAAAATGTATCTTCAATTTTTTGAGAATTGTGAAACTATTAAGTGGAGGTTGGAATTTTTTTCTGTCGGAAACGATTAACCTGGTCGAGATTAATGTCTGGGAGACCTGATCTGCAAGAATTTCTGCCGACCTGCACGGTTTATTTACAATTTAATGAGGAATGTGGAATTTTTCCATAATCAAAGGGTGGGGGTTGTATTTTTTTTGTTGAAAATGATCAATCTGATCGAGATCCATGTCTGGGGGGAACGACCTGCAAGAACTTTCGCCGACCTGCGAAGTCAATTTTGAATTTAATGAGGAATGTGGAATTTTTCGATAACCAAAGGGAGGGGGTTTTATTTTTTTGTCGAAAATGAATAATCTGGTCGAGATTCATGTTTGGGAGAACCGATCTGCAAAAATGTATGTCCTCCTACTTGATTACGAGAACAATAACTACTGAGAACAATTTGCTGACCTGCAGGCCTGCAAAATAGTTATACCCGGCCATTTGTTTGATTCACATTCCCCATTCATTAATTTGGAATGAACTTGAATAGTTCAAATGTCATATGTTTTTCGATCATCGGAGAGTAAAATATTTTAGGATATAGTATTAAATTTTCATTCCGAACAGGTAAAATATTTCATAATATATCAAAATCTATCTGCAAGGTTTATTTTGAATTTAATAAGGAATGCGGAATTTTTCGATAATCAAAGGGGGGGAGTTTTAATTTTTTTTTGTCTGAAATGATTAACCTGGTCGAGATTAATGTTTGGGAGAACCGACCTGCAAAAACTTCCGCCGACCTGCAAAATGTATCTTCAATTTTTTGAGAATTGTGAAACTATTGAGTGGAGGTTGGAATTTTTTTCTGTCGGAAACGAATAACCTGGTTGAGATTAATGTCTGGGAGACCTGACCTGCAAGAATTTCTGCCGACCTGCACGGTTTATTTACAATTTAATGAGGAATGTGGAATTTTTCCATAATCAAAGGGTGGGGGTTGTATTTTTTTTGTTGAAAATGATCAATCTGATCGAGATCCATGTCTGGGGGGAACGACCTGCAAGAATTTCTGCCGACCTGCACGGTTTATTTACAATTTAATGAGGAATGTGGAATTTTTCCATAATCAAAGGGTGGGGGTTGTATTTTTTTTTTGTTGAAAATGATCAATCTGATCGAGATCCATGTCTGGGGGGAACGACCTGCAAGAACTTTCGCCGACCTGCAAGGTCAATTTTGAATTTAATGAGGAATGTGGAATTTTTCGATAACCAAAGGGAGGAGGTTTTATTTTTTTTTGTCGAAAATGAATAATCTGGTCGAGATTCATGTTTGGGAGAACCGATCTGCAAAAATGTATATCCTCCTACTTGATTACGAGAACAATAACTACTGAGAACAATTTGCTGACCTGCAGACCTGCAAAATAGTTATACCCGGCCATTTGTTTGATTCACATTCTCCATTCATCAATTTGGAATGAACTTGAATAGTTCAAATGTCATATGTTTCAAAATATTCTATCTAAACCTCAATACCTTTTCATGCGCTAAATGATAGTTCTCTCTTGATTCCAATAATTGATTTTTACAATTTGTAAACCATAAATAACCAAATGAGACAATCCCCGCAAACGTACCAACCAAAACAGGGGCTCTACGTAACGGGCTTCATAAAATTGGCTTCATAATTCCGTTTTAATAAGTATCCATACCGCTCTCCTATATTATTATGAGCTTATTATGAAACCTAACGCTAGTTGCACACACACCGATTTTGGACGGCCGACTTTGTACTGGTCGTCCAAATTCCAATAGTGAACCACATGTGGGAACGAGACCTGGCACACACGCTGACCGGTGATCGTCGCCGGTAAAATACCGGTGAGCGTCCACTGCCACTGTATCGCCGGCAGTACCGAGAAGTAGTGGCGTACATGACTAAATACACTCTTGCATACTCACCGGTTTTTTACCGACCATTCCAGTCTCGAATGCTCGGTGAAATTGAAGTTACTACGCATTAACTTCGTTTTGGTAGTGCGTGCTAATTACGACAACAAAGCAACTGATTGTTTGACCGATAAGAATCCGGTGAGTGTGCAAGCACCAATAAAATATTGTCCGATTTTATACTGGCCGTCCAAAATCGGTGTGTGTGCAACTAGCGTTACGCTAATACCAATTTTGGACGGCCGACTTTGTACTGGTCGTCCAAATTCCAATAGTGAACCACATGTGGGAACGAGACCTGGCACACACGCTGACCGGTGATCGTCGCCGGTAAAATACCGGTGAGCAGCCGTCCACTGCCACTGTATTGCCGGCAGTACCGAGAAGTAATGGCGTACATGACTAAATACACTCTTGCATACTCACCGGTTTTTTACCGACCATTCCAGTGTCGAATGCTCGGTGAAATTGTAGTTACTACGCCATTAACTTCGTTCTGGTAGTGCGTGCTAATTACGACAACAAAGCAACTGATTGTTTGACCGATAAGAATCCGGTGAGTGTGCAAGCACCCACTACCAATAAAATATCGGCCGATTTTATACTGGCCGTCCAAAATCGGTGTGTGTGCAACTTAACTTGATTGTTCAGTATCTATCATACTTTTCAACTCTTCAGTCTTCATTCAATACTATGAACTCTTCACTTCAACATTCTGAAACAATGGAATTAACTTCGACCCTTCATTTGTAATAAGTTGAGTACTTACGATGAGGATGAGTTAAAACTACAGCCCGTCAGATGATACACAGTTCTCTAAAGAAGTAGACCTCCTTTGAGAGACAAGAATTATTTGGTATTATATATTTCTGACATTCTCAACACTTTGACATTACTTCTGCGCTGGGTCACTCGGTATGGATCGGGTTCGCTTGTACAGGTATATAACATGATTCTTAGAATAAACAAATTCTATAGATTGACCTTGAGTCAAGGTATTCCAAATAAATGATTGACGGGAAAATGAGATAGTGCTGCATAATAATATTTAAATACCTACGTTCCGGTTTTAAACTATCTGGAACTTGCCCCGATGATAAAATGATTATGGTGATCAAACCACTATTCATTTCGGCATTTTGCTAAACACGAGATGATATTTGAATTGATGTAAATGTTGAAATGATACATGTTTTAGTACAACTTCAATATCAGGGTAGTGAAAATACTTAACCTTTCTCGAGTTCCATTCTATGTATTAATATTATATGTATGTATGTATAATATTATAAATGTGAAGATTTGTGAGGATGGAAAAATGTATGTAGGTTGAAGGGACTGACGCCTATCAGAAAACAACTACTTCCCTGGCTAATACCACGAAGGGCGTTGGATTATATCTGACAGCCGTCAGTGCAGGAATCTTCACAGAAAAGTTTCTGCATATGCAATAAACAAACGTCAAGCAGTTATGGAAAGCAGAAGAATAGTTGAATTATGGAAAATAGTGGAAATGCCGCCGGAAATCCACATGTTTCTAGAAATGATATGAAATCTAGAAAAGTTAATGCAGTCAAGCATTTCAGGTTAGCTTCCCAAATTTCTACTACCGCAGTTGTCGGTTGATTGGTTAAACCACCAACACTGACATAAAAACTTGGCAAGTTGACTTGGGTGTCACACCAATAGGTGGTTCCACTTAATAATGTTTCGCTTGCGTTTACGCAGCTATATCAAGTACTTTCTTGGTTTTTTCTCATTTTGTCTTCAATCGAGGACCGCCTGCCCGGTACTGACGATG